ATGAGCATGAAAAAATTCATATACCCAACTTTTTATAATAAGTCATTCTAAGACTTATAGTATTTTACTTCTCAAGCTCTGGATAGTTGAAGTGGTTTGTGCCTGTCTCTTCAGGTAAAAAGAAGTCTTCAGACTGGCGAGATGAATGTCAGAATCCACAATAGAAGTATCTCGTCTGGGTTTATTGGATTATAAATCAACCTAGGAAATTTATGGTAGCATAAAAATTATTGCAGGTGTGAAAATTTCAAAGGAAGCCATGTTATTTAATTGACATTGAAATTTATGATTCATTTTTAGTGGAATAATTTCTGTAGTTTCATAAGAAAGAAACAAAATCTCAGTTTATAGTTGTTGATATGTTATAAATCTGTAACAAGTATGACAACCCTTTAAATACCAAAGTCAGGAGCTTATATTTTAGCATACCAAAAGCATCAAAGTGATATGATTCATAAATAATAAATCTTATGGTATATATAGGGAGATAACTTCAGTAATCTTCTAAGATTGTTCATTTTTATTTCATCCAAATCAAGGTCCTTGACGCTGTACACTGGAGTGTTTAGAGGTGCAGTGGCAGAAGCACACTGCTTTGTTCTAGCAGTTTGCCCAGTCAGTTGTGAAGATGTGTGCATTACAGACATAGTTAAATACTTTTGCCATTATTATTTCAACAGTGTTCTAAGATTCCTGATTTCTGCTAATGCTTTGAATCATAGGAAGCATTTTTAGATTTAGAATAATAGATTTCAAAATGTCACATTTTTTTTTTTTGGCTAGCGCCATGGCGCACTGGGTTAATCCTCTGCATGTGGTGCCAGCATCCCATGTGGGCACCAGTTCTAGTCCCGGTTGCTCCTCTTCCAGTCCAGCTCTCTGCTGTGGCCCGGCAGGGCAGTGGAGGATGGTCCAAGTGCTTGGGCCCCTGCACCCGCATGGGAGGCTGGAAGGAAGCACCTGGCTCCTGGCTTCAGATTGGCACAGCTCCATCCTTTGCGACCACTTGGGGAGTGAGCCAACGGAGGGAGGACCTTTCTCTCTGTCTCTCTCTGTCTGCGACTCTGCCTGTCAAATAAATAAATAAAATCTTTAAAAAAAAGTCACATTAAAAAAAAGTCACAGCTGTATGAACAGTCATGTTTTTATTTCTGAAAAGAAAATGTATATCTGAAGCAGACCATCTGAAACTTGTTTTGATAAGTCATTGGTGAAGTTTGTAAAGTATGACTCTTAGGACCTTTTATCAACATTTTATTATTTCTCATTTAATTGGAAATTGGGCCCTCAAGCAGTGGTTTCATATATTTTTATCTGGTTTATTGGGCAGTCTCAATGCAGTGAGGGCATAAATGTGAAATGATGGTGTGTAAATCTACTCATTGCTTTCCTGTGTGCTCTGTCAAATCTCCCATTCATGGCCATTTATGATACCTTGGGCAGATCCCATAGTTTTGTAGTTATTTGTTTAAAAACATCTAGTGTAGTTCAGTGTAAAACCAAGTTCATGTCTCCCTGTTGCAAGCCATTTACTGTGGCTCAGGAGACTTAGAGGCAGAAGGGTAGACATCGGCTTCTCTCTCTGCTCTTCTCTCCAGCATCTTTGAGTGTCTGTGGTTGGTGGCTCAGAGCTTGACCTGATTCTGAGACACCTTCCTCCACAACCTACATCGGCTTCATGGCCTTACTCCTCTCATCCTGAGTTGTTTGTAGGGAACTAAGGTAGGGGAAGAGGGTACCTAGCCTGGTTTCCATCTGCTGCTGGTTTCCATGTTGACAGTGTCTGTGACTTTCTTGAGGCCAAGGTCAGTTTCTCCCAGCTCTCTCCGGCCCTCAGGAGCAGCCATGTTTCCTTTGGGCTTTCCCAGTCCATACCACTGTCCCCCTGTGTTGGTGGGCATCACTTTGGTTAGCTTGAATAGCTGCTTGGCTTCTTCTGAAATTCTCATTCCCTCCAAGAGCCGTGGAGATCCGAGGTGAGCATGTCTTCCATCCTTCTTGGTTTTTTTCAGGTACCCTATGTGCCTTGGCCTCTTTTAGCAAGCTCTCAGGTGTCTCTAGGCCTAGTCTTTATATATAGTTTATATTCTTCCAAAGCTCTAGGGGCACATATCAGACTCAGTCAGAGGGAGCCTGCAGGTTCAGTTCTCAGCAGACCGCCCACCAGGAATGGAATGTTATTCTTCCTTTCGTTCCAGTTCTCCCACTATCAGATGTTCTGTTAGAGCTGTCACAGGAAATACTGTATTTCTCCTAAGACTGGACAATCCAGGTGATGCCCTCCTGTTCACCTCCCCACCCCTTGTTCCTCTGTGTATTCTTTGTGGTTGGACCAATAGTGCTGATTCCTACAAAGGGGACCAGAGTAGAAAATAAGGCCTTAGCTTTAAATGTTGCCAGCCCTTTGAGCTCTTTTATTGTTGGTTCTGGGTTCTGGTGTCAATTCTGGGGCAATTGGAAAAGTCTCACTGAGATTAAGATCTCTCATGAGTGATTTTTTAAAGTTACTTAAACAGAATAGAGGTTATGTTTTGCTCATGCAAAGGTCAATCAGTGTGCCTTGTAGGACTGGCATGGTGAAGTCTTTAGGGACCTAAGTTCCTTCTAACTGACCACTCTACCAAATACAGGTTTTGGTCTTTGTCCTCATGGTCAAAGATGGTGATAATCTAGACGTCAAGCATCAGCTTTGCAAAATGGTTAAAGAAGAGCAAAGGGCGCACACCTGAAATCTAATTTTTAGAGTTTCCAGACCTGCCACAGAATTCTTTGATTCACACTCTACTTAGTCAGATGATCAATCAGGATTACATGAGGGCCCAGGAAGTGTGATCTTTCTTCTGAGCAGCCAAGTGCTCAGATGAGAATTACTGGGGCAGGGAGGGGGTTGTTGAAGGACAGCTTGCGTTCTCTAGCACAATGCTGGGTGCCACTACATCTTGGAGCTGTGTGCCAATTGTGCGTTCATCTTTCACATATGAGTCGCACAAGGGAGCTTCAGCAGGTTCCTGGGAAAACAGAACTAAAAGCTGGCATGCATTGTCCATGAACTATCTGAAACTTCCTAGTGTATGTACACTGACACTGAATGTCTGGAGGATGTGTGGAATTTTATTAGGTACTTGCAGGCTCACAGTGAATTGCGTACAGGTAGGAGAAAAGTTAAAGCCTCTTCAATAGTGGAGTGTAAACCACTGATGGAAATGAAGTTTAAAACCTATCTTTTCAACTGAAATCGTTGTATGTTTGCACTTTCTGCCTTTCGTTCTCAAGGAGAAAGAATAGAGCTGCATTGAGCCTGTTGACATGTAGGTGTGTTCAGTGTCACTCTGTGTCATGTCCTTCACGTGGGCTTTCAATTGGTGTCAAAAGGGTTATTATATTTTATTAAATTTTAAAAGGGCATGTTTTATAATAGCCCTATATCAGCCATAATACTTTAACTGTACCATAAATGGTTGTGAACTGTAGCTGTTACAGTGTCACCATTTATTGGCTTCTGCATAAACCTGTTGGGTGATAAGTTTCATTTTTCCCCATCATACTAAGCTGATACATAGTAAACCACACTTCCACATTCTTGAACTCAGATACACTGAGCTTTCAGTTTGCTCAGGGGGTATAGTACAGTGAATTAAAACTGTCGTCAAATCTCTTTCCCCAAGGTTAACATGAAAAAATGTTTTTATAACAAAATCTTTACAGTACTTTGGAAATAAGGCTTTTATATTGACTTGATTTTAGTCTTAAACTGTGTTTTATAGATTCCCAGGAAGGATATATTTCTCCATCCCTAGGGAAAATGATGGCCATTCTCAGTAACCCAGCTGGTTTAGAAAAGTGGAATTATTCAAGCATTAGACTAGGATTTGTTTTGTGGTAATTTTCAGTTGGATCCATAGTAGACAAGACAGCATAAAGATGGTCCGTATTCTATTGCAAAGATCTGTGGACATTAGGCAGCAATTGAAAGAAAACCTCAGACAAGGACTTGATATGTGCTGTAATTTCCTTCCTCACAAATTCAATTTTCTCACCTAAGCCTTTTTCCTAAATTTATATACATTTAACAAATTAAGCCAGTTTTCCTTCTAAATATGATTAGTAGGACTCCCATTGCGTTCTATGGGCATATTTTCACCAGTTTATCATAGAAGCAGTGCTCATGTGACTTTATTAACTTACAATAAGAAAAGATCACTAAAAGAACTTTTTTTGGAAGTAGATAAATGAAAGGATGGAAATTTTCTTAATGAGAAGAGGACTTATCCCTCCCATCCCCTTATCCCCTGCCTCTGATATAGAGGGTCTTACATGTGGTTTTAATCAAGGCTAGTTGTGTTTAAAGGAAGAATAATATTGTAGTAACTTTATTTTGCTCTGCACTTTACAAATCATTTCAGTTTAATTCTATTTGACTATAATGTCAAAAATTTCAAACGGTGTGATATAGTGATATATATATCACTATATATTATATATTTATATATATGTATATATAAAAAACAGTGATTTTGTAGGGACTATAACATAGAAAAAGAGGAAATGTCATTACCAATTAAGTAGCAGTCACATACTCATGGAGTCAAAGATGACTGACAGCTCAGGTTGGTAAAGTTCCATCAGAACCAAATGAACTTGACTTTTGCTTGTGCTTGAATCCTGTATGCATTATGCCTTGTGAACAACTTGACCTTAAAGATAGATGTAGCATTTAGTTCTGAATGGTTTTACCTAGCTATACATAAAGTGCTTTTTGTAGCATTTCCTAAAGTCCTTCAAAAACCTAAAAACAAACAAAACAAAAAACCCACTTAAGATGAAATTAATGGACTTTCCATAGATATAGCAGCATTTCAGTAAGGTTTGAAATATTTGAAGTGTATTCTGCACAAATTTTTTGAATTTTTATTGAAATCTAAACCCTTTGAAAAAGGGCCTTTTGCAACTGGCTCCCTCTTGAAAATCGTGTTCAGCAGATTGCGTGTGTTCTGTTATAGGTTCACTACTGTGATAGACAAAGTGGCAAAGAGTGTGTGACCTGTCTGACCTTAGCCCCTGTGCAGATGACTTTCCATGGTATTGGAAGCTCCATTGACGCCAGCCATGACCAGGTATCATGTGCCACTGCTGTTTTGCTGCATGATGGCCCAGCTAAGAAGTCCGAGGCCATCAGAGTAGAAGCTATGTGCACACATACAGCTTTGCTTTTCTTAATACACTTACCCACTAGCACCATTTCCAGACTTTTCCAAAGTTAAAATTGTCTTGGGAAACTGTTACCTTAGGAGACTTAAATTATTTTAGATTTCTCATTTGTAGTTCATCACTAATTTAAATGTGTAAGATTATTTTCTAAGAAAGAAAAAATTGCCCCACAAGCTACTTTTACTTTTAATAATCATATGTGAAATGAAGGATCCATAGAATAGTGTAACACTGGAGTCTCACTATAATATACTAACTTGGTTCTGCTGAAGAGTTTTTCTGCAATAGAATGAATGTCAAATAACCCTGTGAACATTCAGAACCATCAGCTTAGTCCCATAACGTGAGATGTTTTTGAAATGAAGTTCCAGTGTTGTTGTTTTTATTTCTAAAGTTTAATTTCTGAAGTGAAGCTGAAAAGCTGCGAAGTACATTGTTTCTTCATAAACACATTCCTTTGATTGTTTAGATAGCAGCAAGAGATGACATCCTGTTTATAATATATATTTTCAATTAAAATAATCATCACATGAGACTAAACTAATGATCTAGGTCATAGAATTAGTTTACATGTGCCTAACCAGCTATGCTTTCTAAATTAACCATACAAGTTTAGAACTGTGATAACCCATGTTCACTTCCATTGTTGAGCAAATCTGAGGGCTCAGTCTAATGGTCTCTGACTAATATTTTTTTCTCCAGTTTGAGTAGTAGTGCCTCTTGCATGGAGAAAATAAAAGAATACATTAGTGTATCTTCTCAAACTCATGAATTATCTTCATCCAACCCAAACAGGACCTCAGATAATATTCTTAAGGGTACACCTCTCCATTGTGGGTTTCCACTCATTGTTTGTTGATTGGTGGGGAGATGCTGCGATGCTCGGGAATGAGCGGCTAGTTGGTAGTTAAAAAATCTGAGTTTCAGGAACTAACTGTGGCAGAATACAGCTGCAGCTCCCTGGGTGGGTTCTGTCACCTCCTTGCAACTCTGTTTGTTAAATGAGGGAGTTGGGTTAGATGACTTATAAGATCCATTCTGGTACTACCGTTTTATGGTTCTGTAACTGATCTTCCTGCTCCTGGTTAGTGATCCTAACCAAAAATAAAGAGTTACTGCATGTTGATCTGGAGCGCCACTTAGAGATTAGTGCTTCTTGGGACTTTTAAAATTATAGCTACAGAGGAGATCTGAGGCACAGCCTGAACTCTACCTTACAGAAAGTATTATGTGCTCTGTGCATGTGCTATGTGCTAAGGATATATGGTGAGAATTTTAGAATTGGTTCTTGTTCTTCTGGAGCTTATAATCTAGCAACTGCACCCCTTTGAATTTGGCAAGTATGGCCATCTCTGTATCTGTCTCCGTATCCACTCATGGCAGAAACAAATGGCAAGAGCAGCATGGGATACCCAGCCTTCAAAGTTCTGAGGCTGAGCAGAGAAAGAAAGAGTACACCAATGACTCACCCCAGACATCTGAGGAGAGCAGCCCACTGCTCATGGAGGCAGTGTGTTGCTGTAGAGAACACTGGACTGGGAGTGGAAACTGGGCTCAAACTCAGCTTTGCCAAGAACTAGCTGTGGAACTTTGTATCTACTTCTTTGGAACCTGGCTTCCATTCTGTAGATTCCATTTATAGGACCTTCTGGAAAAAGGCAAAACTATGGGGATAGAAAACAGATCAGTGGTTGCCAGGGGCTGGGACTGTGGAGTGGGATTGACTCAAAAGTGTCATGAGGAATTTACTGGGGTTATGGACGTGTGCTGTATCTTGATCGTGGTGGTGGAAACACAACTGCACACATTTGTCAAACTCATAAACTGTGCTCTAAAAAGAGTACATTTGATTGGCTGTGGATAATGACTGAGTAAACTCAACTTTAAAGGAAAAGAAAGCTGGATTCATTGCTTTATCAGTTTCTAAATGCAGTACTGACCCCAAGGAAACGTGGAAGAATATCATCTCTTTGCCTCTCGTGAACTCTTGGGGGTGTTGGATCCACATTGAGACACACTGAATTTAACCTGTGGCCTGGTTTGGTGCTTGTCCAACTGCCAGTAATTGGGAAGGCCTGCTTCAGACTTCCTAAAATAATAATTAGTCTCCAAAAGCGGCCTGTGCTCACCCCTATCGGACTTCAGGGAAAAGGTCTGCAGGCCAGAGTTTCCCATTTGGGAGCTTTGAGTCCTCATTTAGACAGGGGCAGTCGTTCAGTCTGGGTTTGCTGGAGGTCCCCACAGTGCCTCTAACAGTCTGTTATATGTGTGTTTCCTTTACTCATCACAACAAATGTTATGTTAGAAATGTACGTTGGTTTAGAATGTTTAATTGTCCAGAACCAAAATATAGTTTACATTCCCACATACTCACTTCTTTAGCACCTGTGTGCTAACTGTGAACAACTGTGTGGGAGAACTCCATTAGACTCTGGAGTTTACAAAGATAATGAATTTCAGTCTTAGTCCTTGGTAAGCCAGTTGTCTTGTGAAATTTAAAAACTGTTGATCTCAGGGTAGTTTCAATAATGAGTGATTATCATTATTTATGAATCACATAAAAAACACATTTAGATTGAGCTAGTGCGGACTCCAGTCAGTATTTTTCAGTATATCCTATGTGGAGATTAAAGTTACATTGGATCGTGTATATTATTAAAAACAAAATTCTTGGGAGCCAGTGTTGTGGCATAGAGAATCAAAGCCGCCACCTGCGATGCTGCATCCCGCATGAGCTCTGGTTCATGTCCCGGCTGCATCACTTCTGATCCAGCTCGCTGCTAGTGGCCTGGGAAAAGCAGCTGAAAATGGCTTAGATACTTGGGCCCCTGCCACCCATATGGGAGATCTGGATGAAGCTCCTGGCTTTGGCCTGGACCAGCCCTGGCCTTTGCAGAAAACTGGGGAGAGAACTGGTGATGGAAGATCTCTGTCTCTCTCTATTTGTCTCTCTCTAACTCTGACTTTAAAAATACATTTAAAAAAATTAAAAAAAAAATTCTTAGGAATAGCACAAAAAATGTTTTAGAAACCTCTGGATTGATGTAACTCATTAATTGTTCTTTATTCTCTTCTTTTGGCTTGATACCATTTCTACATTTTTCTTCATCACTTCATTTATTCATTTATTTGAGAGGAAGAGAGAGAGAGTGATTCATTCAGTTCCCACATGATGGTTCACTCCCCAAATAGCTGCAATTGGCCATTGCTGGAACAGTCCACAACTGGGAGCTGGGAACTCAGTCTAGTCTCCCATATGAATAACAGGGACCCAGTTGCTTCAGCCATCATCTGTTGCCTCCTAGGGTGCACATTAGCAGAAAGCTGGAACCAGGAACAGAGCCAGGACCAGATAGGGGATGTGGGTGTCTTAACTGTGAAGCCGAGCACCCCCCTTCATCACTTGTGGGGATCACTGAGTACCTCTTCCTGTCTGCCTCCTTTACCTTCCAGTCACAGCTCCACAGTCTTCAGAGTCATAAACTTCCTCCCCCGGCTTTTTTTTTTTTTTTTTTTTTAATTCATCTTCATTTAAATTGTATCACAAGTGTCACAAAGGTTGGGTGAGTAGATGTAGCTTAGTAAAAGTACTTTAGTTTAATTCATTAATAGTTTGCTGCTGTCTCCCTTTATGTGTTTAGGTAAGTCTGGAACTTGCTTGCTTGAAATAGCTATAATAATGAAGTAATAAGTCTACTACTTAATCAAGCACTCTAGAACTAGCCAAAGAAATGTAACATCTGTCCCCTAGACTTTATTGTATGTGCCTTCTAGTCAGCAAAAGCAAGATTGTCACGTAAATGACAATGCATATTTGACACAATACTTAGAATAAAAAGTTGACAATTTTACAAGGGAAAATAAACAATCACATTTTTATGTAATGCGTTTAATATATACTAGATACTACACTCAGCTTTCCATACGTTATTTTGCTTAATTCTCACAGTAATTCTCAAGAGTTTTTACTATAGCAAACTGTATTTGCTATACCACTTTTTAAGGTTTATGTCCAGATAGTAAAATTAAGTTGATCTTTTCTCAATCATTGTTGTGTGCTTTGAATAGGATTCAGGTCATTCCTCTCAACAAAAGGACAGTGATTAAGGGTAACAGTTTATAAATCTAATGGGTATTTCATTCTTCTTTTGATTATAAGTTCTGATTATAGTTTATTTTCTGATTAATTAAGTTTCTTTACCTAATTATGCCATAAAGTCTTACAGTGATATGATATTTTAAGACTAAATGTAAAAAGGCCTTCTTACATATTATCCAAACATATTATCAAAACAATGGTATATTGCTTGATTGTAGACTATGTGCAGAACTTTTGCAGTGCTAATTGGTCTTAAATAATATCTGTATTCCCTTATGCTTGTAATTATAGTCTAGGAGTGTTTCAGCCAGGATGCTTTTGGCTACAGATAACAGAAAACCTGACTCATTCAGGCTTAAATAATAAGGAACTTCATTAGCTCATCTAACAGGAAGTTCAAAGGAAGAGTAAACTTCAGGATTGTTTGATAAAGTAGCTCAGTGATGTCAGCAAGGGCTCAGGTTGTTCCCATATCTTGGCTCTGTCATACTACTCTTCATCCTGTGACTCACAGAAGGCCACAGTCGCTCTCTGTGTCACAGGCAAGACAGACACATCCAAAAAGAGACATCTGGTCTTGTGTCTTGGCCTAAGATATCTGAACTAGGAAACCCTCTGGCCGTCTTTCCTGCACAGCTCATAGACCTGGATTGGGTTGGCTGCATGGAAGAGAAATGACACCACTGCTGGTATAAATGCTGGGGTGAACTGGTTGTTGAGGAATCAACCACATAGACTATTACATAAGGGATAGAATGCTACATGAAATTTTAATAGCCATTAAACATTAAACAAAAAAAATAGTTA